TGATGACAGACACTGGTTTAGAACCAGAACAGCCTCCTTGGATTGGGGTGGAAAGGAGTAGTAGAGTTGAGTGTGATCAGCATATTGATGACACCGCACCCCAAAACTCTGGACCACCTCTCCCAGTGGCTTCATGTATATGTTAAATAGCATAGGGGACAATACAAAACCCTGGGGGACCCCACAGGCCAATGGCCAGGGGTCAAGCAAGAGTCCCCTAGCACCTCTTTCTGGGTTCACCCCTCTAGGAAGGAACGGAGCCTCTGTAAAATGGTACCTCCAAGTCCCATCCCAGAGAGGTGGCCCAGAAGGATACCATGGTCGATGGTAACAAAAGCCACTGAGAGGTCCAGCAGATCCAACAGGGATACACTCCCCCTGTCTAGTTCCCTGCATAAGCCATCCATCAAGGTGACTAAGGCTGTCTCTGTTCCATATAGTCAAGCCTGAAACCAGATTAAAACAGGTCTTGATAATCATCCAGAAACCCCTGGTGTTGGGGTGCCACCACACACTCTAAAATCTTGCCCAAAAATGGATGATAATTATTAATTATTGTGGGATTCAGGGATGTCTTTTTTTTCACAAAAGCCTCAGAACGGCTTCCTTTAGGCAAGATGGAAATCTGTCTTGTTGTAAGGAGGCACTGACTACCTCCTTTACCCACTCAGCCAGTCCCCCCCTTGCCTGTTTAATAAGCCAAGAAGGACAAGGGTCCAAGACACATATGGTAGCTTTTACCTCTCCAAGGGTCCTGTCCACATCATCAGGCTGCACAAGTTGAAAGGTATTCATTAATGTTGGACAGATCGATGCCAAGGTTACATCCACTGGCACTGTATCAACTGTAGCATCCAAGTCAGAGCGGATCTGAACAACTTTATCTGCAAAATGCAGTGCAAATTCTTCACAGTAGGCCTACTTGCTGCAAAGCATGGAATCACTATCCTGAGCAGCTTCAGGGGCTTTTTAGTAAGATGGAGTGAGGGAGGGATATGGCTCAGTGAAGCCTAAGTCTGCATGTACATACTTACACTATACTCAGGGGATGTTGGATTGAAGCCAAGGCCTGCCAATTCAATCTTATGCAAACCCAAGCATTCTTAGGGTCACTGAAACAAATACTTTTCTAATTTATTCCTAACTCTGCATTAAATCCCACTACAGGTACATTGCTACCCAGCCAAGGAATCCAAGCCCAGCAACACATTTGCAGGTAGATGCACAGTTGCTCCAAATGCTACTTGTAGTACTCTTTAATTGTAAGTTAGAAAAGGAAAATACTAGCTGGGGGATTCTGGGAGCTGTAGGCAAAAAAGTGACTCATCCAAGTTTTCTCTACAAATGGGAACTTCCATTTGAGAGAACAAATATATGAGAAAGTTGCTTGCTCAAGTCTTTGAAGAAACTGAACAATTTCTTTATTTCCAGGTTTCATTAAGGAAGTGCTGAGCCATAACTTAAGTTCTTTGGAGGTAAAAAGATTGCTAAAATATTATTAAGAGTCAAGGCCCAAGGATTGTGCCCCCAGGAGAGAAGGACACAAATGTTGGGGAGGGAGTCTACCCCCGCAGTAGGTACAAGATTACAGGATCAGTTACACTGATTGCGACTTACAAGTAGGGGTGAGCAACTGTAGTGGGGGCAATATTTTTTTGCTCCTGTACACTCACACGGTGGACTGTACTGCCCCATTTCTAGCTGAAAATCTGCCAATATCAGAACTAGAAGTCACTTCCAATTTGTGGGGCTGTCAGGGTATGAGGATGTTCCCCCGTCCAAACTAATCCACCTCCCTTGGAGGACTTCAGAAGCAACAGTGGACTTCTTTTGAGTTTTCATACATACAAACACACAAACTCCAAATGCAAAAAAACAAAACAAAAAACCCAAGATGGGTTGAAGTGGCTTTGAGGAGATTGGGAATGATTGAAAACAAGAGAGATTGGAAACTGCATACACTCTGTGGGCCCACCTTTCCCACTGGAGGGCCCATTCAAACTAGGGAATGATAGAGTTATGACTCCACTTTAGACACCATAGAAACACTGTATGAAATCTTGGTGTCTGCAGTTGAGGAAGAGGCATCATAATTCTCATCCAGAAAGCTCCTCTGGTGACTCTGACCAAATAACAAACTCCTGGATTCCACCAGATGCAGCCATGGCAGTTAAAATGGAACCACAGTGAGATAACTGTTTAATTGTGGAAGGAGGCTGTGTCCCAGGCATTCCTGCTGCCAGTCAGAGCTCCTAATTTTGGGCCAAGTGAAATAAGGTTCTACCGACATGGTACAAAGGAGCTCCATATGTGAATGCAGGAACACAGTAGGTGGCAAGGAATGGCCTTGAGTGCTTGGAAGGAATAAAGGAAGCAGAGATAAGACACAATCACCGCTGAAGACATGGGAGAGGTTGGTGGTAGCAGGAAATAAAATGGGAACTGCTTCATGGGACTTGGAGCAAATAGGCAAGCTGAAATGAATGGAAAAATCCAGAAAGATGAGCATGTTCAAATGAAAAGCAGTGCAGGATGGGGAATCTGAAATGCTTTTTTTCCTCTACACAAAACTATGTCTCAGGCCCTACAAACTTTACTATTACATGGAAGCAGTTGGGAACCACCTACAAACAGGACATGATAGCAACAGGCCTTCCAAGTTGTATATCTCTAGCTACTGGAATTCAGAGGCATGTTGCTAGCAAGCTTTCCACTCAGGTGACATAACTGAATAACCATTAATCATCTTTATCCTCAGCAAATTTGTTCAATCATCTTTTAAAGCCACCTCAGCTAGTGGCTGTACATTCCATACATTAATTCTGAATTATAAAAAAAAAAAAAAATCATAATCAGAGAATGAAAAGATCTGAGAATGAAACAACCAAACAGCTGATGGTTGCAAATGGACACCTTTTAGAAAGGGACTGAAAAGGTGGCTCAACAAAGTTGCCATATTCTGTGTTGCATTCACTGGTTTCTTTTTCTTCCTGTCCATTTCTGGTGGCCATCAAAATGGTTTTGCCAGGTTCTGAAAGCCTACACAGGATCCTGCAAAATCTGTTCTGCCAATGACATCAGCAAAACATGCAGTGGATGGTGGGTGCAGGGGAATCAGTGTATCCATGCAATAATAGCCCTAATGCACCATTTCCTGCTCTTGGAGAAAAGCTCTGATGTGTCTCCTCCAGCCAACTGAGATGTGTTCTCTCTAGCAACTTCTCAGCGATAATGACTGAAATGAGTCAGGAATGAAAGGAAACAAATCTCTTCCACCACTACCCCCCTCCCCCCACACACAGCCGTCTTCTTTTTACAGAATCTTGTGTTGTCTTGTTGCATTGAAAGCGAAGAGCTCTGTGCGTGGGATTCAGGGAACAAACTATGCTTTGAGAATGGGAAGTTCTTAAAGCGAAGAGAAGAAGAGCATTGTTCACTTGCAAAAACAGGCATCAAAAAAGGATAGACTACCTGGAGAAAGTTACTTTTTAGGACTACAACACCCACAGATCCTCCAGCCAAGGGAGTTCTGAGAACTGTAGTCCAAAAAGTAACTTTTCCCACATCGACTTTTGATTTAACAGCACAAATATTACACATTTATTTAAATGTAAGTCCCCACTGTGCAATTTGTATCTTCTGTTGTAAGTGTGTTTAGAGTTGCAGCCATTTTCATCCAATTTGCAAAAGTTGTTTTCCATTCTCCACTCATCAGTCTGGAAGTCAGTCAGTTTGTTGACATGGCCAAATAAAAAGACATGACATCAAGGCTCATTGCCTATGCATAAGAGCTAATGAGAAATATGATTTTGCAATATGTGTTTCAACTGCACAGAAGAGCAAGCTGTTTCCTCTGGACCCAGTAGGATCAGAAGCAGAGAAAATGGCCATTTTTAAAACAATTAAAAAAACACATTTTTCAAGCATAGTAATCGCCCTTACGTCTTCCCCATCCAGGCTCCCAAATGCTCCCTTCTTCTACCAAGCTCATATCAGTTTGTCCAGAAATGCTATTCATACAAATTGCTCTGCCTGCAGTGCTCTAGTCCAGTTTAAGGGAACTGCCATTTTCAGTAAAGGAACAGTGCAGCAATAAAAGCACCAGTCAACTAGATGCTGATGGAACAGTGAGAATTGCACTTGGCAGCACCAAAGCTAAGCAAAGATCATGGATACTGCAAATCACATCTAATGCTACCAGTAAGCAATGGCTCACAAGGTAATGGGAAACTTTTCTGATTTACCAGGAACAATATAGCCATGGATAAAGAAACTTGGTTGTTGTGTTCCTTCAAGTTGTTTCCAACTTACAGGGATCCTAAGGCAAACCTATAATGGGTTTTTTGTTGGGGTATGCAGACAGGGAGGATCTAGCATACACACATGCAGAATAGATGCACATAGGCAGAAACACCCAAAAGCTGGTCTTCTGTGAAGAGTCTGCTCCAGACAGCACAGGAAAAAACCTCCCACAAGCAGCTGCTTTGAGCTTGGAGAAAGGAATAGCTTCACAGTGAGGCTTCTCTCAGAGAAGGCTTTAATTTTTGTTGCAAATATTTACAAAGATACACAGAGTATCAGATGTCTGTCTTGAATACTCACAGCTATACAGAGTAACAAAGTACTTTGCCAACGCGAACCACAACTAACCAATGACAGAGATTCTGACTCTCTCCCATATATAGGGGTCCTCTTAAGAACATGTGACAGCCATGCACTAATGAAATCTGGTTTGTCTCATCCACTGTGCCTGTTGCATCAGACCTCCCATGATGCACAGCTCACTAAATGCTGACTTATGCACCTGCCACCTGAATTGTAGTAACCTTGTTATTATTGCTCCAGTTCCTTTCAATGGCCACATCCATGTCATTTTCCAGACCAGGGTGCCACATTGTCTTGACATTTTTCTTGACAAGATTTGTTCTGAGAAGGTTTGCCATTGCCTTCTCCTGAGGCTGAGAGCATGTGACTTGCCCAAGATCACCTAGTGGGTTTCATGACTGAGCAGGGAATCAAACTCTGATCTCCAGAATCACAGTCCAACACTCAAACCACTATGCCATGCTGGCTCTCCTGAAGAAACTTTAAAGGTAAAAGGTAAAGATTCCCCCTTGAAATGAATATCTAGTTGTGACCGACTGTATGGGGCAGTGTTCATCTCCATTACTGAGTCGAAGAGCCAGTGTTGTCCGAAGATGACTCCAGCAGTCATGTGGCCAGCATGACTGCACAAAACACTCCCGAACGCATCTGAGGAAGTAGACTGAAGTCTACGAAAGCTCACACTGATAATTTCTTTCTTTCAGTTAGTCTCAAAGGTGCTACAAGATCTCTCTACATACTGCACCAAACACTGTAACTGGCATCTTAAAAACTGTCACAGAAACAGAAGCAGAAGCTTTGCATGTTACTACAAAATGTAGTGCCACAGAAACAGGTGCCACAGAAACAGAAGCTTTGCATGTTACTACAAAACCTTCAAGGGTGGAATGAGCTGTCTATCAAACACTCCAGTACCTAGAGGATAGCCACCAATTTTGCCAGAGAAAAGTCTGGAGAAGGGAGTAGAGGTGGGGGGCCAAAGGTGGCAAGTGGCCTTCCTCTCTAACTAGCCCTCTTTTCCCTCTGTAACTGATGGTGAGGTTCCCCAAGCAGGATCCCTTTCATTTGGACTAGGACCCCCAGCTTCTTATCTCCTACATTTAGCCTTTATACTTGCATTTGAATAGAACAACTTTGTGAAAAAGACAAAGCCACAAGTGGTCCTGAATGTTTGATAAGGCTACTAAGCTCTTAAGCTGCAGAGAGAAGCCAACATTCAACAAGTACATTGGTGGGGCCAGTAGTAGTTGTGTGCCTTCAAGTTGTTTCCAACTTACGGCAACCCTAAGGTGACCTATCATAAGGTTTTCTTGGCAAGATTCTTCAGAGGGGGGTTGCCATTGCCATCCTGAGGCTGAGAGAGTGTGACTTGCCCAAGATAACCCCATGGGTTTCCATGGCTGAGCCTTGTTCCGAACCCCGGTTCCCAGTTTCCTAGTTCAACTCCCAGTGTCCTAGTTCAGCCAACTACCATTGTATAACAGACTTCTGCACGTCATGGCAGTCCCTAATGAATAGTACATTGTGAAACTAATCAGTTCTATTTCCCAAAGTCTCATCTTGAATTTCAGTCATTGTGTTTTTCCCACCATGCCCCTACACAGTGCAGTTAGCTGTGCTGTTAACATCTCATGGACATCCAAAGGAGCTGGGGAGAAGAAAATGCCCAGCTGTCCAATGCAAAGGAGTTGGGTCATGATTAAATTAATCTGATCATTTACCTGAGAAGGAGAGAGGTCCTAGAGGATTTGGCTCGATCAATAAATACACTTGTCTTTCTGCTTAGGGGATGTGTGTCTTAATTACTGCAGGAGCCTTTCTTGGAGGATCAAAGGTTTTAGCGGCAAAGGAATAAGCTTAACAATAAGAATTAATCTTTCTTCTGAGCGATGGTTTGGGATACCATCTGCCAATTTATAAATTTTAATGGGAGCAATTATAGCCTTTCAGTAAAACAAAAAAGTCACCAAGAATGGAGATTTCAATAAAACTTTGTTGTTTTAAATTACAGACATGTACATATTTGAGTTGAGTTAGATAAGCCTAATTGACTGAAAACTAAACAGACTTATAGTAAGTTACAGGGGATGCAGACGGGTGGCCCTGGACCGCCCCTGGAAGTGGAGGATTGAGGCCGAGGCTGCTGGACACCTCGATCCCAATCCTCCATTTCGCTGCCTGCGAAAGGAGCACTAAAATAGTGCTCCTTCAGCAAGCCACGAAAGGGGCGCCGCAAGAGGTGTGGCACACCTCTTTGGCATCTCTTCTAGCTCAGCGTGTCCGGATACTGAGCCGGAAGGACATCATTGGAGCGCCTGTCATGTGGATGGGCCGTCACG